ATCCCCCCCCTGTTAAAACAAAAGTAACGACTCTGGTATACATATCTTTAACGACTTAAATATAAGTCATATCAACACCTTTCTTCTCAAGAACTCTCCAAAGGATATCTCTTGGAACCTTATCGTAAGCTTTTTCTAAACTTGTGCATCCCCTTTATTCTTAAAAATGGGGACCAAAATACTCTTCCTCCACTCCTCAGGCATCTTTTTAGTTTTTAAAATAATATTAAAGAGTTTAGTAAGCCAAGAAACTCCCAAATCTCCCAAATATTTATACACTTCAATTAGGATATCATCAGGTCCTACAGACTTTCCACCATTGGTTTTCTTTAAAGCCTCCTCAACTTCTTTTTTGCTAATGCGACGGTAAAAATGAAACGTTTTATGATTTTTCACGAAATTAAAATCACTAAGGTCGATCGTATTTTCAGAAACTTCATTAAAAAGTTTATCAAAGTAACTCACTCACCTATGCTGAATATATTTTTCTAAGAAACGTACTTTTTGATTTTCATCTTTAATACACTTTACATAAGTCAAATCTTTACTTTTCTTTTCTCTTTGTTTGGCTAGTTTATACATATATTTTTCACCCTCCTTAGTATTTAATCTATTATAAAGACCATTAAAAGCATAATTTTTAGCGTCACAAATTATTCATTTAGACTCTCTGTGGGCCGTTTGATATTTTTCTTAGTTCTCTAAGCTTTTACATTTAAATCAATTTTTATAACATATATATTTCATCTTTTCTTGCACATTATTATTCCATCACCAACTATTTTTATTTATAAAAAATTTTCTTTTGATTCCCCAAGCACATCTTTTGTTATTTATTTAATAGTGTTTGTTACTTTATCCCACATAATATTTGCTTCTTCACGAACAACCCAAATTTTAAAATCTTGAATTTTACTCATAAGAAAATTTTTATTTGTCTTTTAGGTTCCCCCATCTAATTCTACGATGATAACTCCTAGTATTCTTTATTTTAAAACTCTTCACCTTAAAATCTAGAACTAATAAACGATGTTAGGTCTTGAATTCTCACTTGGAATGACCTTACAATCTTTACAATCTCGACGATCACTTCTTCTTATAAGAAAATAATCAATTTGTGTTTTATTAGATCTACTCTTATAAGTAATAAGATGTTCATCTCTTTTCTTGAATAAAGTACTAGTAATAACAAAATCATATGCTAAACCAAATCTAAAATAGCTCTATATTCTTCATTAGTAACTCCAAAACCGTAGCCACCATGAGTATTTCTGAAGTCTTCTACCACTCTACCGACATGTTCATTTAAATATCTTTCAATAAAAATTCTTTCTTCAAGAGGTATCATTTGTATTAAGTCTTCTAAGTCATTCCAAAAATTATCTTTAGACCCTGTATCTAAACCTACTTGAGGAACTTAAGCATTTATAATATTGAAAATTTTAGTATCATTGATAATCTTAAGGGCTATAATTCTATCTCCAACTTTATTAATTTTTAAAACATTATCTTTCAAACTCTTATCTATAATTACACCTACATCATTTCTAGTGTGACTCTTACCAGAATACCAAAGTTTAAAACCTAAATTATCAATTTCCTTAACATTTTCTGCAACCCATTTAGTTTCTTGAATACATAAGATATTAATTTTTCTATGAATCATAATATCAACTAATTTCATTAATTTACCATTGAAAGTACATATATTCCAAGATCTTACCATAATATTAGTTTTATTAGTTTCATGGACTAACTTTTTTACCTGCATTCGTCCGTAATGTGAGAACTTTTGCTTATTTGACACTACATCCGGGCACCGGTGTAGCGGCTCTTGTACACTTTTCATTATATTCAGGCTATACAGCGCGTCGCTTCCAGACGATGCCCTAGCACTTACACAATGATCAAAAAGATTCATGTCATGATTTTTCCGATAAGTTTTACATTAGTTGTCGACTACCAAACACAACCCTCCACTTTTCACATCCAGGCTTGGGACCGGCAATGACAATGTTAAATAATATGATATACAGAGTGAACTAGAAATTCTGATAGAGGTATCAGTCTACAACATTAAGTATAATGTGACAACTACATCAATCCCCTATCAGACAAGATGCTCAGAATTAAAACTTGTTAGAAGGAAAAAAAATTATTAATACATTGTTAAACCAGTATAGGAAACCTTAAACTTCTGGCACCAGATTCATAAGTCGGGGCAGGCTTGGGAGAGAGAAGGAGAGAGAGAGAGTTCAGGTATTCAACAATTATAATACGTTGAATGAACTGGACGATAAAGTACAAGAAAAACATTATTGCAATTATGGTGGAGCTGCAAATGCAGAGCTTTGTAATAAAATCAAAAAGCGTACTCCAAAGAAGTCTTAGTTTTAAAGTTTGGCAATACTAAAAAATATGCATATTGATAAAGAAAGATTAAGATGTCATGAATATCAAAATTATAATATCGGATAGCATCAAAAGGCAAATATGATAAGCATGAATAAGAATGAAAAACTATCACAAATAATAATTTCAACATCTTAACCAGTCGTTAAATAACATAACAAAATTAAGAAATATGTTGAACATGACCTAGTGGCAGCATGCCATATACGAAGAGTTCAATCTTCTCAACCAATTATTATTATCAGTGTGGAAACATACAGACTAGACATTGTGATTATGACCTTCTAGTGCTTTGACACAACTCTTTGAAAAGTTCTGAAAACAGGACCGGACATCAAACTGGAAAAAAAAATGATTTAAGGTTTATTGGTTTTGACCGGGACTGAACCGGATGACGTAATAATTAATAAATACAAAAATAATTAAATTTAATCTAAATAATAATATAATAATATAAATATAAAAAGTAAATAAAATGCTTTTAAGTGACCCTATTTATAAAAAATTGCTCTTTCAAAAGATGACTCATTTTATTCCCGAAAAATTCTTCATATTTCAAAAAAAATTAATAATATTAAAATAAAACTTTTTATTCTCTCTCCTCTTAGCCCCTATTCCTCTCTCTCTCTCTCTCTCTCTATATATTATATATATATATATGATACATTATCAACAAATTTCCAACATCCAACATGAACCTTAAGGTATAACACGGATCTAGAGGAAGTTTTTGAGCAAAAAATGTTCAATCTCCTAATAAAATTCATCCAGACCTCCGATTTGAGTAAAGTTATAGTCAAATTGACCGGCTCAATGGGGCGGACCCAACAATAAAAAAAAATCGGCCCAATCCGAGTTGGATCAAGCCTAGATCAAGTTATTCAACCACTTTTAAAAGCTTTCCGGACATAATTTGAAGGCAGATGCGTCTCTCCAAACGGGTGCACCTCTTATTATTATTATTATTTTTTAATAGAATTTAATTTCTTTTATTACACAAGTAATAGCTGAAAATGGTTTGATAGTCTGAAATCA